ATCCACTATGACCATTACTTGCGTTTTCCCATTCCTGCTTTTGACCTTAGTATCCATGAAATCTATAGAGACAGAGTCTCCAGGGCCGGTAGGGATAGGTAAGGGCTTAAGTAGCCCGAGGGGCGATTGCGTAGTGTTTTTGTTTCGTTGGCATACTTGGCAACCCTGCACATACGCGATACAGTCTGCTTTCATTCGAGGCCAGGTGTAGGAACGCAACAAAGTTCCGTAGGTCAACTTCAATAAAAAATGACCTTCTGTATCATGGCATACCCCCAAAATCATACTTTTGATCTCTTCATTATTGGGTATGCACAGCCAATCATTTACATCAGTTCGTTCAAACAATAGACCCTGAGTTACTTTATGATCGTGAAACTCTGCTGGCTTTTCTTGCACTAGCTTAATCATGGGTCCATATATAGGATCAGAGGAATACGCATTGCTAATCTTCTCCTGTAGGTCAGTACCCACATCTAAATAAGTCACAATAGCATCGAAAAAGTCCGATCTACGACTTAGTGCATCAGTAACAACATTATATTTACCCTTTACTGGCTTCAACTCAAAATCAAACATATCAATTTCTGCAGCCCACCTTGTCAACTTAGGTGTCATTCGCGCTTGTGTTTTGAGCCAACGAAGCGTTTCATGGTCGKAGTATACTTTAAAATGCCTCCCTAGAAGGTAGTGTCGCCAATGATWGAGAGCCTCACGCAAAGCATAMAACTCYCGTTCATACGTTGAAGCGGCCACCTTCTCGTTAGGTAAGCGGCAAGACATAAACTCTACAGGTCTGTACCCATGCCCATCATCTTGCTGGAGTACAACACCTATACCATATTGACTAGCGTCAGTCGTAACTACAAAAGGTAATGAAGGGTCCGCCACTTTCAAAACCGGATAATTGATCAAACACCTCTTCAGACGCTTGAAAGACATAGTGCAGTCTGAATCCCACTTCCAAATTACTTTTTTTTTAAGCAATCGACGAAGAGGAGCAGCTATTATCGTAAAGTGTCTTACGAACTTTCGATAGTAGTTGACTAACCCAAGGAACGACCGCARCTCAGTCAAGGTGCGGGGGTTCGGCCAATCTCTGATTGCTGCTATCTTGGCATCTTCCGGTTTGACCCCATCTCCATCAATCACATGTCCTAGATATAGCACTTGAYKCTTAGCCCATTCACACTTCTTTGGGTTTATCTTGAGTTTTGCTTCCCTCAATTTATTTAGCACAAGTCGAAGGTGCTCGGCGTGCTCTTTTTCATTGTTACTGAAAATCAAAATGTGATCTAAATAAATCACAACAAATTTATCGAGCGATTCACGAAAGAGTTCGTTCATTGTTCTTTGGAAAGTGGCAGGGGCATTTGTGAGACCAAAGGGCAAAACTACGAACTCATAATGCCCATACCTTGTCATAAAGGCAGTCTTATGTTGGTCTTCTGGGTCAACTTCAATCTGATGGTAGCCGGATTTTATATCAATCTTTGAGAACACTTTGCTTCCCTGCACGCGATCCAGCAAATCGTCTATTCGCGGTAACGGTTCAGCATTTTTTACTGTTATATCATTTAACCTCCTATAATCTATACACATGCGAACGCCGCCGTCCTTTTTAGGCACAAAAAGCACAGGCGCACCATAGGGTGAGGAGCTAGGTCTTATCCAACCATTTTTCAACAACTCATCGAGTTGGGTTCGCAGTTCATCCAATTCCTGGCGTGACATACAATAGATAGGCCCCTTCGGGGCGCGCTCCCTAGAATGATATCAATGCGGTGGCGGATTGGTCTTTCCACCACACCGCTTGGGGCTTCAACCACATCTGCAAACTCTTTCAGGATTCTCTCAATCTCTTGAGTCCTGACTTCTTCTTTAGTTTCTCCTTCCTTTACTGGGCGTACATATGCAACAAAGACTTGGTCATACAAGTTATGTTTCTTAACATGGCGAGCGAACGTTGGGGCACTCATACAACAGTGAGCTAGACTGCTTTCCTTTCCAGATTTACGATAGAGGCGGATTTTCTTCTTACCTCCTTGCGGACTTGGAAGCCAATATTCATGTTCCCTTAACTTTAGATCCGCATGTGCAGCCTCACCCCAATCCATTCCTAGCAACACATCAAAGGGCAAGTTATCCTCCTCCAAGAGGGTCAGAGAGTGGAGAACGCGTTCCACCTTTCCCTCTTCCTCTAGCCGAAAGTATACTCTTACTCCCTCGATGTATCGATCCATGACAGTTTCACTACTATTCGCCAACTTACTTACAATGGGCTCATCTAACTTCTTAACCTTAAGCCCAAGACACAGTTTYTGCAAACCTCRTTTACTAATAWAACTGCGTGTAGACCCACTGTCTATCATGCCYCCTACTCTTATCCGATTTATCTCTAGATCTGCAATTATTACCTGTCCTTTCTTTTTACGCATTTCAGTCCAGGCCTGGCGACGAGCGGCCAACTCATCACCCACGCCAGTGAGGGATCCATCTAGAGAGATGCATACCTTTGCCACCTCTGGACAGTGCACTAGATGGGGACTTCCTTCCTCTTCAGTTTCTGCCATTGGGGCCTTCGAGTGGGAGGATTCTGATTTTTCAACACTCGAAGCCCCTGTAGAGGCAACTAGCACCTCTACTGGCTGTTCCCTTTTGCCCCCCGATAGTCGGGGCAATAGGGGACAATGTGGTCGGGGTCCCCACATTTGAGGCATTAGTCTGCCTTCTTTCTTTCGGTCCATACTTTTTCTGTTATGCCAAGCTCCTTCCAAGGCTCCCCTTCGGGTAGGCCTAGATGAGGTGGGTACGGTTTATCCCACTTATTGTACCATGAACCTCTTCCTCTACCCCAGGTGGAGTAAGAACCACAGCCACCGTATGAGGGACCATTTCCCCTTCCTCCCACGTAGTGGCTACCTTCGCCACCACCCCTCTAGGTGCCGAATCCTCTTCCACTACGGCCGCGACCTCTTCCTCGGCCACGCCCTCTTCTTTGACGCCCTCCCCCGCGGGCTGCAACAGCCGCGTAACTCCCCTCCTAAGCTACCGCTCTGTTGGGTTCATCGAGACCATAGTCAACCTGATCCCAGGAGATGGTCTCGGCGCCTTCTTCTTCAAAGGTTAGAAGGAGACTATCTTTCCCAGGTATAGACCCTGAGATAGTGCGGTTTTGCCATCTTTTTCCCGCTTGCAGATCCTTCTAGTAGTGACAATAATTCGCCTCGGCGAGGAAACCGACATGATCTATGGCGATCTTGCCGAACTTCTCATAGGTGATCCCATCTTCCTTGGTTCGGGGATAGAACTGTGTTCTTAAGGGATCCGGGAGTGCTCTTGCAAAGCTATTCAAAATTTGGGCTGGTGTTAATCCATCATCAGGACATTGTAACAATTCATCCATTGTGACCTTTAATGCAGAAGTGCTTTTCCATTTCCTGTCAGGAAGGCTGAGAATTAACATTTCTTTACGTCTTGCTAGATTTTTGTCTTCGAATCTTTCTCTTATTAACTTTAGGAAGTCGTCGATTCGCGTTTGCTGCGAATATTCTACCATAGAGCTGCATCCCGCTTCCTTTTGCAGCGAGATGGCGAAGCTCATGGCGTCGCCTCCCATGCATGATGTCGCCATCAATACCCTGTCCCAATATGGGATACGCTGTCCGTATACGTAGGTTTCAATTGCGGCTGCCCAATGTAAGACACTCTCTTCCTTTATCCCATTATAGGCCTAGGGCAGTTTAAGTTTGATCTTGCTAACCTGCCCGGATTCCTGAGGAAGTTTTTCTTTAGGATCCTCAATCTTCTTCTTCCCCTTCCTGTCACCATCGCCATCGTCGTCACCATCTCCCCCATCGCCTACAGCTCCCTTCACAATCCTCTCTACGACTTCCGGAGTGAACGTTTTAGTGACATGATCATCCAAAACCTGGATATATGTTTGAACATGATGGTCCACGTCCTTAGCAGACTTTTCTAAAAAGTTGTTCCAAATAGTCTCGAACTCAACCCGATGGGTCTCAACTCTTTGCAGCGTCTGGCGCATTAAGGCCATGTCTTGTCTTGTGTTGAGCACGGCCTCCCTTAGCAGTGCCTGTTGTTCTTCAGTCGCAGAGGGTTTATCTTTTTGCTCCTCCAGAGCTTTTTGTAATTTCTCCCCTTCTGCCTGCAGCCGTTTCTTTTCATCAATTTCTTGTCTTCTGGTGGCTAGCAGTTTACTGTTCAACTCTGCCCTTTTTTCTTCCATCAGTAGGTTCCGCTCAACGGTGTCATTTACCGTAGCTAACTTAGCAAGGAATAGATCACGTTCTTCTTTAGACTCCTTTAAGATTTCGCTGGAGTAATAATATTGGTCAGCCTAGTTTAAAGGTTCAACGAGGAGTCGGCTGGCTGTGCTACTTTCTGGAATATTAACGTGACGACGTCTTTGCAAGGTTTGTTCTTCTTCCTGTTCTACTTCTTCTTCTTCTTCTATGCTCTTCAATTTTTCTTCCAATTCTTTCTCCATCTTCTCTTTCATTTTCTTTCTGGCTTCTTCTTCTTTCTGTTTCTTCTTGGCTTCTTTCTCTTTTTTCTTCTCTGCCAACCTGCGGTCTATCTCTGCCTGTTCCGCACGTGT